ATTAAAATTGGATCTTAAATTTAGAATAATAATATATAAGTCGTAAAAATTTCCAATTGATTTTTCATAAAAAATATATTATTTGAAGTTTTTGAGCGAGAGGGGAGTAAGTTTGGTAAGAAAAATACCTATAACTTAAAAATAATCTTAATCTCTCGTCCTAAAACATGACATAGTGGGCTATATTTTTTTTTATATTGCTAACAAAATCGTCACCATAAAATTTTGATGGCCCTACGAAGTTTTGTAATATTATGAGAATCCCATTCTATTCAATTTTATAACCACCCTTATTTTAATTTTTTTGCATGTGTCTAAAATTTCATATCCCAAAGTAAGAGAATTTTTTTAATAAAATTTTGATTCTTATATTATAAAAGGATTTAAAAGGTTAGAAATAAATTTATTATGAAAATATTATAAGTATAAAATATATACAACTCATATGCAATTAATAAAAAAATAATATCAATTAAATAATCAAACACTTTATTAACTTTATTAAATAGACCTATTATATATTATTTTTTCCTATTTTAATAATAATTAAATTCATCATTATTTTATTTTCATTTCACCTTGAATTTATTTATGAGTTATTATTTTTCAATAACATCATTTTTTACATTTTAATGAATATTTATATAATTAAGTTTATTTTTATTTCTAAAAGATAATTAAATCAAATTGGAGCACCGAAAGCTTGACTTCAAAATTTAGATAGTTTTTGACATAATCTTATTATTCAAACTGGTTTTGTCGGGAGTCATTATGTCCTTAAGAATATTAAAGATAGCAGAATACGAACCCGGGTTTCTTAATTCTCAATCATTCTATAAAGATTTACCATTTAGCTAAATCACGCAAATTAAAATGGGAATAAAATAGAAAATATAAATAAAAAATTGGATATTTAATAAAAAAATTTGGTTCAGTGGAGTGCTAGAAGGGGCAGCTGGCCTAACACCTCTAATGTATTTTATGTAAATAGAAAAAAATCCAACACGAAATAGAATAAGATTGATTTCAGCGGAATTAAATGAAGAATACTGAGAAGAAATAGTTTTGCAAAAACCAGAACGATGTTACTACTTATTTTCATTTCACCTGTAAATTTTTAATACGTTTGCTTCGAAATTCTATATATTATATGAGTAGGTACTCGATAGGGGAAATGTGCCGTGAATGATCATGTTTTTGTTTTTTTTCAAAAAAAGTCATTTAGATTTGGGTTTAACCAAACAAATTTTATATCATTGTAACCCAATTCTTAATCATTAAAATAAAATTTAAAGTAAAGCTCTATCTATAATAATTTATGAGCTTGATGAGGTTATGTGAAAGTTGTTTTTCTGACTAGTCAAAACATGGTATGTATTGGCTGGCAATCTTTAAAATTTTATTATAAATATTACAATATGAAATACTTGTAAAAGACCTATATGTTAATATCCTACTTTTTTTAGTTATATAAAAATTTAATTATACACTAATTTAATTAGTATGCATCTAAATTTATTATCATCTATTTAATGATAATGTTTTATAAATTAATATCTTAATTATCTTTTGTTATGCATTCTTATTTATAAAAATAATCAATAACTATTTAATGATTTTATAAATTATTATCTTAATCATCTACATGTTAAAATGGTTATTTCAATAATTTAATCATGAAACTTATGGTTACACAACAACAATTTATATCATTATCAATTTATAAATGACAAAATTTTGATATTTTTATTTACATAAATAACAAACAAATACATCTTATATACATTAAGCATACGCCTATTCTTCTTAATGAATGCATTTAATCCACTCTTCCTCTTTCTTGAGAAGGAATATTTCTTCTTGCATATAATGCACAGCTAATCATAATAATTTTTCTTTAGGTTTTCTATACTCAAAAAATCATGAGCAAATGTTATTATCAAAAAAAAATGATTATTAACATAAAAATTTATATAATTAAATTTATAACTAATTAATTATCAGGTAATTATAATGTATAATTAATACCATTAAAAAAATATGGTTTAATCAAGCGCGTACGCAGGAATTTGGTCGGGGCGGGGGGGGGGGGGATAATAAAATTTTTTAAGAAATATCATTGAGCATAAATTTCTAATAACTTTTCTAATACACTATTTTAAATTAATGTGAATATAAAAAAATTATATATATAAACTGGCATATAAAAAAACTATGAAATGGCGGCATTGAAAAATAAAATAAATGTGAATTATAAAATATAAAGTGAATATAACCACCATAAAGGAAGATTTCATGGCAGCGTATGATGATTTACGTTAGGAAATCATAATCTCTCCTTAAAATCCTTATTTTTACATGTCCAAAATGTTTAATAAATTAACCAAAATTAAGTTTCAATTTTTGTATATAATTAGCTTCAATGTAAATGTATTATGATATTTTAAATAATAAAATAATTCTATACGTATCATTATTACTAAATAAAAATGCATTTCAATTCGATATAGCTCAAAAAAAAAACTAATGGATTAGGAAGCTCCTTGCAGTGTTTGCCTAACCCTGTTATTAGGGCTTGTTGGGCAAAATTTTAACTTTTACAAAAAAATAAAATTACAAAAATATGAGCGTATTTTTGAAAATAAGGCCATTTATAGAGTATATTTATAGGCATCAATTCATATAGATATATTGTTCTTTATAATATCTTATAACCGTTTTTACAAAAATCGGCTCTACTAGCCCCACTCTCCCTTATATTATTTATATTTTAAATTGATAAATATTCATTGAAATTATGCATTTATTTTATTTTAATCAAAATAAATATGCAATGATTAATAGAACCAACCTTTTAATGACCAACCATGATCTAGCCCATTAACTTTACAAATATCGTTCAGAATTATATTTAATTCATGTTTTATGATTCTAAGAAATTGTCTAAAAATATTAGAGGTTATAAATTTCCTAAATTTATTTATTAATATTTTAAAAACGTCATAAATCCAAACCATAAAGGTTTGCATTATTTTTTTGTTATTTTTAGTATGCTAAAAACGCCCTCTGTAAAATTAAATAGTAAATATTTTTCAAAACATTTTAACCAATCATGTATGTATTAAGTCTACAGAGATATTTAAATTATAACTAGAGCGAACCAACGTTCCCTTGTACTTAAAGTGTCCCTCTCCCCATACTATCTTTAAAAATTAAATGAGGAGGAGGGGAGGGGGGGTGTAGAGGGAAATTTTTGTTAGCGTAAAATGTTAATTATGAAAACAGGCAAATTTCCGATGGGGAGAGGGGGGGTTTGGAAAATTGTTTTTTAATTTTATATATTTTGGATGGCCATTGAGGCCCTCATATTTTTCAAAATATGGCTTGTGCTCTCACGATCGGGGATATCTGTTTCGCCTCTGGTAAAGATTTATATTTAAATGATAAAAAATAAATATTAAGAACCGGCCTGAATCAGATCTGTAAAGAGTTTTATTTTTTGGCTTGGGCCTATATTTCGTAAAAATTGGTCTTGGCGTTCGTGTTTATTCACCCAGGCCCCTGCTTTAAAGCTAATTAATTATTGGCCGAGGTTTTAATTTTTTTTATTTCGGAAATTTAATTTTCGTAAGATTATCAGGATTGCTAACTTATAGAGAAACTATAGTATTATTTGATCAATATTAATAAAAAATAACCAAATAATTATATACACACATTTTATAAATGATGTGTATAAAACTATAAATAATTTTTCTTTTTGTCTAATTACAAAAAAAACTTTCATTTTTCTTTATATTTATATGTATCTAATAAAAAAATAAAGGTAACATTCTTACCTGAAAACCTACTCAACCATTGAATATTAAAAAATTTATTATATAATATTACATTTTTTAATGCGTATATATTTACTTTTATCTTGTTTTAGGTAATAGTATTATTTAATAAGTAAACATAAACAGCATTAAATGGCTTTTGAGGTTCAATTGTTTAATATGAATTATACAGAGTATATCAAATAAGTTTAAGAACGAACTGATCATTAGATTGCTAAACTAAATTAATGATGTTATTAGGCAAAAATATAATATTATCATATTCCTGTTTATGAACGAATTATATGATAGTTCAGGACATATTCGATTCCTATATTAATTACCTTAGACTCCTCCCCGCATATAAATTTATTAAACAAATTTTTAAATCTACCCTATTCCATTATCTAGCCATCCTTTATAAAATTGTCCAAAAGGTTGTTTTATTATTCCAGATTTGTGATCTACGAGGCACTACTTGGATTTGAAAGTAAAAAACGATAATAAAAATTTACTAGGATTTATATCATTATTTTCTCATTTTTATCCTAGCAAAATGTTTTGTTTTATTTCTGCCCGATTATCACATTATACAATTGGCTATAAAACACCAATGTGCTCATCGCTATGGCCCTTCACTCCCCAAGTCAATTTTGGAGAGCTCCTCCAAATTATGAAATAATTCAATTATAAAATGGATATTATGTATATTGATTATTCTTGAAATATAGGTAATTGCATCGTAATCGTGTTTCTATATTCTATATACCATTTAATCATTTTTTTAAAATAAATTCTTTTCTTATATCATATTATTGTTATATAAAAAATAAATAATATTGTTCAATCCCTTTTACTATGTCTTTTATATTTATTATTATTTAACAATTGTCTAATGTTAAGTAAGTAAAAAAAAAGTTCTTTTTATTTGACATAAAAGATAAATGCGTACATTTATAGGTTTTTATATTAATTTTTTCTTAAATTGTATTTTGTATTAAGTTTATAATAAATTTTTATCGATAAAAGAAAATACAAAAAATTTATTTAAAAGAGAAAAAATATAAAGAATTATCAGTGGCAAAATAATATTAAATGTATACTTAAATATTCTGGTCATTTTATTATTGCAATTTTTTAGGAGGTTCAGGCTGTCGAATAATATATTCTGGTAAAAAATATACCATTCAAGAGATGATTCGATTATAAATGAATGTTGCGAAAGACGTTAAAACTTGCTTCCCTAATAATTCTCATTTGTTTCTAACTTCCGATGAATTAAATGGCCACGCGCTTCTCAGTGCTAATTCAAATAATGATTATAAGGATCAGGATTGTATTCTACAAAAAAAGGCACTAGTTGAGGAGGACATAGTAAGAATCAACCTTAATAATATTAAAAGGCTATCTAGTCATACCTTCGGTGATCTAAAACCTATCAATGGTAAAGAGATATCAATAATGAATAAAATGGAAGATATGAACATAGAAATGGACAACGATAATGCCAGGGTGACTAAGGAAAAAAATATTTTTACGCAGGCGAATTACGATGCAACTGTTCGAAAGGATCTTTTACGGGGCCTCAACGGTTATTGTTCCCCGGAAAAGATTGCTAATTCAGACCTTGAATTCATTGAAAAAGAGGAGAAAAAAACATCCATCTTAAGTGAGAGTAATGAGATGAATGAGGTATACATTAACAATATCGAAGATAAAAAATTAACAAACAAAATATCTAATCATGAAATTGTTCTAATTTCTAATACCGGTGATTCTATCAATAATTTATCTATCCCTTCCTGTCCCGATGCAAACTCAACATTCACGGAATCGAATGATATACATTTTAATAATATGAGCGGTCATAAATCTGATGCTATTACCAGTATTATTAATAACAACTGTAAAAATGATGACATTAATTTCGAGAAACAAATAATTTTTGTAAACGCGGACAATTCAGTTACCTTAATTAAAAACGAACTGTTTTTAGTAATAGATTTTTATTATAATAAATTTGTATAATTACCTAAATTCCTTTTTCACAATTTGTCTAAAAAAAAGTTGTAGCAAAATCATAGGCCATTTACGGGGAAGGTTAAATAAGCATAGGGATGTTGTAAAACTTAGAACAATTTTTGCAAATAAAAATTATATGTATTTATCATAAACATAACAAATGTGTTATTAAAAAATCTTATTTATGATTTCTGTTCTGGGTCTTTTAGATTTTTAAAATTAGTATCTAAATTGCTGATCCTCATATCCTTAAAATTCTATTTTAGTATAACCTTAAGATATTACCACTTATATTATATATAATAGAATATAAGTGGTTAAAGCCTTTATTATATTATATATATACAATTTTTATTTTTAAAAACTTGCAAAAATTTAAGTTTATTATTTTAGAAAAAGTCAGATTCCTATATCCCGAGGTTTATTATATTATAACCAAACTCTCATCTACGTGATGTTTAATCTTTTATCTATTTGATTTGTTTGGGCAGATACAAAAGCGTATAATCAAACTTCTTTTTAACATGACGTAAAGGATTTTTCAACAGTCGTATTTTAAATGTTTATTTGAAATGATATTTTTATGTTAGATATTACATTGGAATAGAAACAAAATATTATAATTTTGCCAAAAAAATTTAAAATTTATTATATATAACTTTCACATACTTTATAAAAAAAATGTCAACAAAATTAATAATATAATAAACTTTATTTTGTACATTTATATAGGACAAAAATGATTATTTTACCTCCGACAACCTAGACGAAAACATGGTTACGACATTCAATCATTACAACGATTTAGCTCAACAGTCCTTATTCCGTAAGTTATTGTTTATTCCCACATCTATAGATGGTTCATCACAGCAAGATAGGAGTCATTCTACAGGTAATTTAGGCAAACATCATTATCCGTTCCATGATCATGACGGGAGGCAAATAAACAATCATAATTCGGAACATCTATATCCAGATGACTTGATTCAACTTCAGCAACAACAATCCTTAGGTCAACAGCATCATCTAATGGTCGGTGATGTCCCATACTTCCCTCCCCCGCTTCATCCCCATCCCATATACAATCACCATCACCTGAATCACCAACATGACAGTTTTTCTATGACGGTTCCAGCTCCAAATCATTTGCTTAGATCAGGAGCTTTAGAAGATCACCATATTTTACTCAACCAAGGTCATCTTAATCATAGTCAACAGCATAACAATAATATTACCCAACATAATCAAAATCAATTTCACCATCCCGGTTTTACGGGAGCTATACAAGGTCAGAACTCCCCTTTCCATCACTTGATACCTCTTTGTAATACCAATTCACACAATAATCTTAACAATAATCACCCAAAATTTGATATGACAACTGAGCAACGCTTCGATGAGAGATCCGAAGAACCCAATAAAACTTACTTCGATTCCTTCAACAGTTTAGAAAATTTATAACCGAAAGAAGTATCCTTCACCGCTAAAAAAAAGAATCTCCACCGGCAAAAACAATAGATCAGATATAAATTCGAATTCAGGATCTACTAATTCCATCTCCACTATATCACAGTACCGAAACAAGGCTCTAGCAAGCGCCATGCCTTAATTAATAAACGAACAAGATAAAGGTTGCTTACAGGAAAACGAACAAAGCCTTAACGAGAGAAGAGAAAAATGATGGACGGATATGCTACTATGATAAGTTACACGGAGCGGCATACCCTTAATCTGTAACAGCAAATCGCTATCCTGGAAGCTGTTAACTCTGAACGGATTATTAAAAATAATAACAATGATATCGATAACGCTAACCAAACTTTCCAAGAGGAGGCTGAGGATCAGATAAGGAAATTCTTCGAAATGAGAGAAAGAGAGAGGCAAATATTGGAGATGGAGTTTAATCAATTTTAGGAGTCAGCTCATAATTTGCATGGAGCCGAAGGCGGAAGGTACTTGAATATGTTTAGGTTACCTAAATTGTCGCAAGAAAATTTTTTGAACACGGAGAAAGAAGGAGGGGACTAGATGAGATGTTCATCAAAGATTGGAATGTTAGAGGAATGGAGAATTTTCAACAGAGAATGGCTGCAGATAAAGAAGTGGTTACTTTAGAATCTAGTAATAAAATAATTATGTCGTCTTTCGATAAGCAACATCAAGTAAAATGGATTTTCAGGTGCCATTTGATCAGGAAATATTTAGGGAGGAATTTAGGAGAAAAGCTTCAGAAATGGAATTCAACCCGGTCATTAAGACTGTTAATAGAATGAAGAAAAAGGATTATAATAGTACATTGATTTTCTCTAAACACTCGCTAAAGGTGGCGTAGCTGAGAATACTTTTCTTTTGTTTGATTAATCCATCATTTTATGGGTGGGACTATATAGATTAGGTGTCATGCTTCTATGCTTGCTCTCTTTTTCAGCAGCATCTATCATGTGCTTCATTTTTATATTGAAAATTTTGATGTTGCTTATCGAGAGACGACATAATTATTTTATTACTAGATTCTAAAGTAACCAGTTCTTCTGTTAAAAATTCTCCATTCCCTCTAACATTCCAATCTTTGATGAACATCTCATCTCGTCCCCTCTTTCTTTCTCCATGTTATAAAAATTTTCTTGCGACAATTTAGGTAACCTAAACATATTCAAGTACCTTCCGCCTTCGGCTCCTTGCAAATTATGAGCTGACTCCTGAAATTGATTAAACTCCATCTCCAATATTTGCCTTTCTCTTTCTCTCATTTCGAACAATTTCCTCATCTGATCCTCAGCCTCCTCTTGGAAAGTTTGGTTAGCGTTATCGATATCATTGTTATTATTTTAATAATCCGTTCAGAGTTAAAAGCTTCTAGGGCAGTGATTTGCTGTTGCATCTTATGGTTATGCCGATCCGTGTAACTTATCATAGTAGCATATCCGTCTATCATTTTTTCTCTTCTCTCGTTAAGGCTTTGTTCTTTTTCCTCTAGGCAACCTCTATCTTGATCGTTTATTATTTCAGGCATGGCGCTTGCTAGAGCCTCGGTTCGGTACTGTGACATAATGGAGATCGAATTGGGAGATCAACTCGTATTTATATCTGATCTCATGTTTTTGCCGGTAGAGATTCTAAGTTTATCGGTGTAGGATACTTTTGTAAATTTTTTAAACTGTTGAATGAATCGACGTATGTTTTATTGGGTTCTTCGGATCTCTCATCGAAGCATTGCTCAGTTGTCATATCAATTGGGTTATTATTGTTAAGATTATTGGGTGAATTGGTATTAGATTTTTTTATTCCTATTTCAATTCCAAATTTTTAAATGTATAAATTTATATCTTTATATTTTTAGCTCAAAAATGTATTGATTCAATTATTAGAAACAATATAAACGATTACCATACCAAAACACATATGAGTAATAACAATATAGTGAACCAAAGTAGCGAACGACAGGAAATGATGGAAAATTCTGATATTTCCGATATAAATAATATCACAAAAAGCTTTGTGTCTTTGGACCAGGGAAGACCACCGACTCCCATTCATCTACATCATCAACATCAGAGATTTAAATTCCTGGAAAATACTTCTCCATCCCAAAATGATATGGTATAATAATATCTAATACTTTTCGCTTTTTCATGATATTTTTAGTCTAGGAAATTCTAAAACTAAATATATTGTATTGGTTTTGGATTAATTAATGTCGAAATTTTAATTATGCTCTCCTTTTATTTTTACGATATTATCATTCTGATGTATACACTATAGGTCTGCAATGGGCGGGGTTTTAGCAAATAGTCCGCCCACTCGTTGATTTTGAAATTTATCTAACCCGCCTACCAGCTCACTTATAATTTTTTCAAAAAATTTGCCCTTCAGCCCATTTATCCATAAATTTTAATTAATCTGCCCACCCGTCTAATACTTAAAAATTATTTTAATGGCTGGTTTGGCTCTTTATTTATTTATTTAATATTTTTTATTAAACATAGTTATTAAATAAACCTGATTATTTTTAATAAATTGAAATCTGTTCCGCTCATTAAGCCTGAAAAATATCAAAAGTTTACCGCCCACGCCCGCCCATTAGTTAAAATATTTTATCAACCCACACGCCACCTGCCCAATGTTACAAATGTTTAAAAACCCGAACATGCGATTCAAAGTATAGGCGGGTGGGCGGAAAACCCGCCCAATGCAGACCCCTAATGTATAATATAGGGAAGAACAACGAAAGTTGAACTTTCTTTTACAATTTTAACAGCACATTTGTTAATTATGCTGGGATCTTTTTCCACTGATGGTTTAATCTATTTATTTTTTGTATTCTAAACATTTCATTTTCATCTTTGAATTTAAAAAATTATGATATAGCTTTCCAGTTTCCACAGTATAATTCAGTTCTAGACACATTATATTCATTTACTAAGGAATAATATTAAATTAAATAAAATTTTTTTACTCTACTATGAAATTAAATATCATGGAATAGTGGAACAGGGCAGGAAAGGCTTACCAAACCTAACAAATTTTATATATAGCTTCCTTATGCATTTAAATAAAATTATGAAAAATTTTGTTATGTAATTGATTAAGTATCGTATTAAATATTATATAAATTTTATATTCTGGATTGATATAAAATGTTTTTTTAAAATTTTATTGGCAAATAAAATATTTACAAATATATTATTCTCGAAATTGAGTTATAAAAATGATAATATATAACAAATTATATATATGAATGATTGGTGTCAATCACATTTAAAAAATAAATGATATTATTTTATTGTAAAATATATTATGGTTAATGATGTGACGTCAATAGAGATGAATTATCGGGGGCTCGAGCCAGGTCAAAATTTTGAAGAGCTCCTTCAAGAAGGTTTTTTAAAACCAAATCTTAAGAAGTTGAAAAAGTATTGGTTTATGGCTAGACTTTGTAAGTCCTGCCAAACGGAAAAGCCTATTGACACTCTTGGATTTGTGGCAAAGGTGTGCATATACTTTTCTCAGAGAGAGTATGTATATAAGCGGGGAGGATATGACAAATTCCTTATACCAGCTAATAATTTAGATACTGGCTTAAAAAAATATCACTGTTTTATTATTATAAATTTGCATTTATTTATCATATTCACCTTAAAAATAAAAACGCTAATATCCATTTCAAATTTTTCTTGGAGTTATATTTATCTACCATTTTATCAAAATAATTTGAAACTTTTTCACTGCAAATAAAATATATAATTTTATAAGGGAGGGGGGGGGGGGTTAATTTTTTAAATTTTAGAAAAGTTTTTGGAAAAACTAATCATATATAAATTTATTAAAACGAATCATATAATTTATTACAATCATTCATATTTAAAAAATGATAATTTCGAACACAAATAGAAATAGGGGAGATTGTGGCATAAATGGTTAGATGAATGACCACCACCTTTAACTTTTAATTTTTGACCAATTTCTCTCAAAATTAGTCGAAATGTGTATATTTATGATATATACCTTATCTAAGTTTATTTATTGATTAGAGCAATCCAATTAAAAAATATCTTAAATAAACTGTATATAATACCTCTTACTAATCATGTTATACATTTTTTTGTTTGGTGAAAAAATTACTAATTTATGATATTGATATTTTATATAAATATTATGCTTAGGATAGTTCACACAAAAAATTAGAGCTTATAAGTTTTATTTTATATACATATAATGGCATTTAATGATAATAGGTGAATTCATACTTTCACATTGAATTGTGTAAACCAATATTTGGTGAAAAAATGGAACAAATTCCCCATATAGAATGCAATTCAAATAGATATCAAACCTTAATAGGAAATTTTATAAGATTATTTAATACAAGACAAGCTAGAAAATCATTAATGGGTTTAGCATAAAATAGTTGAAACTTATAAATATGTTAGCATTTTTTGATGATAATAATAAAATGTTAGAACATTTTTTAATGGTATTAATTATATAGTAGTATTTATTACCTGTTAAATAATTAGTTATCTTAGACATAATTATATAAATTTTTATGTTAAAAATTATTTATTTTTTGATAAGAATAGTTACACATGATTTTATGAGGTAAAGTTTAATAAACCTAAAGAAGATTATGATGAGTGGCTGTGCTATATGCAAAAAGAAATATTCCTAGAGCAAGAAAGAGGGGATTAAATGCATTCATTGTGAAGAATAGGCTCATGCTTATGTAATAATAACAATGATGTATATAATAAAATTTTTATATATTTATAAAATGAAGAAATATTATCATAGGTCTTTTACAAGTATTTCATATTGTAATATTTCATATTTATAATAAAATTCTTAAATTATATATTATGGAGTTAACACATAGTTTATGCCAGTAAATATATATTTGTTTTGACCAAGGACCCGAAGCGTTATTTATAACGGTTCAGTTTGGTTACGGTTCAGTATATAAAAAATTATAATAAGTACTTTTTGGTTACAGTTCTTAAGAAGAAATTTATAGAGGTTCGGTTCGGTTCAGCTAATTACAAGGGTTTATAAAGGTTCATTACGGTTAGAACTTTCTTTATTGAAGCAACACCATCTTCTAATTTATTTTTATTATAAGCATCTATGAATTATATATAAAAAAATATATATAAGATTCAAAATAACTCATTTTTAAATATATTATTGAACGTATAAGTATAATATATTTTCTAATATAAATGGATTCCTTTTTGTTCGTTGTGACGATAACACACATTTTAGCCCCGAAAAAGCCCTTTCTACAGAAACATGTGTAGCGGGAACCACCAGTACTATAAGAGCAAGTTTATATTCTGGATATTTTCTAAAATATAAAAACTGAACCGGTTTGAACCTTTTTAAACCGGTTTAATCTTTTTTTATAAAGGTTCTTTTTACTCCTATAACAAATAATTATATCGGTTCGGTTATGGTTCAGATATTTATAACGGTTTATAATGGGTTAACGGTTCTTTACGGTTCCTCCGGGTCCCCGGTTTTGACTGGCCAGAAAAACAACTTTCACATAATATCGCTCATAAACTATTATAGATAGAGCTTTGATTCAAATTTTATTTCAAAGATTAAGAATTGGGCTACACATTGATATAAAATTTGTTTGGTTAAACTCAAATCATGATTTCTTTTTTGAAAAAAGCAAAAATATGGCCACTCATGCTACCTTTCCCCTAATAAAATATGTAAAATAAACAATATTTAAGAGCTAATATAATATTGTAATAATGAATCACAAATATTTGATTAATTTGAAAAAATGGGTAAGGCTATAGTTTATTAGGTGGGGGAAATGTATGGCCATGTTTTTGCTTTTTTGAAAAAAAGGTATTCAAATTTGGTTCAACCAAACAAATTTTATATCAATGTGTCCTAATTATTAATCTTTGAAATAAAATTTGAATCAAAGCGATATCTATAATAATTTATGAGCTAGATGAGATTATGTGAAAGTTGTTTTTCTGGCCAGTACTAAGTGTTAACTGGCCATAATATATTATTTAAGATTTTTATTATAAATATTACTTGTAAAAGACCTAGGTTAATATTTCTACTTTTTTTTATTTATATAAAAAATTAATTAAACACTAATTTAATTAGTATTATCTCAATTTATCACCATCTATTTAATGATAATATTATAAATTAATATCTTAATTATCTTTTTAAACATTCTTAAGCTTGTTCATCATTTGAAATTTCACCAAATATTGTTTTGCAAGGGCTTTTCATTTCAATATGAATATATGAATGTGCGAATTGTGGTCGCCAATCAATACATGCCCAGACAATACTCACCTCTCTATTATTATTAAGCAATATGTTTATTAAATAAAGCTTTTAAGTCTAATTTTTTGTGTGAATAATGCTAAATGTGGATAATATTAATATAAAATTTCAGTAATCTGAAATAGTAAATTTTTCACCAAACAGAAAAATGTATTTACGCCATTTTTCCAGAAAGAGGTATATTTAAAATATTTTTTTATTGGATTGCTTCAATAAATGAACTTAGGTAAGGTACATATCATAGATATTACACATTTTGACCAATTTTGAGAGAAATCGTTCCAATAGATAAAAAGTTAAAGGGCCCTGGCCAGTCTTCAAACATGGCCATTTATAGCACATTTCCCCTATTATTTTTTTTGTATTTTTTTAATTTTAAATCATTAATTGAGCACGTTTTAAATTTAAAAATCTGATTTTGCCGGAAATGCATTTCAATAGGTGTGCAATAACCCACCCTGTAAATTTCAGACAATTTTATAATGAAATTTTAAAGAAATTCCAATTTACATTAAGAATATGAAAAAGTTATGAGAAAATTACTATAAATTATGATTTCTTCAAATGTTGGTCATAAAATTGTCTGAAATATATTGGGTGGGCATTCTGCACATATTGGAACGCTTTTCCGGCAAAATCAGATCTTTAAATTTAATAAAACGAGCTCAATTAATGATTTTAAATTCAAAACCTAAGGCACATGTCGGAAAAACCTATTAAACTATAGTCTCACCAAAAAATGTAACCAAAAGTGAAATAATACGGTTATTTTATGGTAAATCTCAATTGAGTCCAGTTTAATACTGGAAATATTTGCTTGTCTAGGTGCAATTCGAGGCTTACGAATCTCAAAATCATATAATTTTGCCTCACCTCAACAATAACATAAATCTTGTAAATTCTTAATCTACTTTATCTCTTAATTTTTTAAGTTGTATAATATAATAAAAGTCGTGATTCTCATAACCTCAAATCCATTTGAAAAAAGTTGCATAAAATTGAAATAAGTCATTTATTAACACATTTCAATGCAAAATAAATCGGCTAGTTGAATCTAATAATGTATCAGCTTCAGATGCAATATCTGGTTTATGTCATTCTGATATTTCTTAAAAGGCAATCAAAATAAGTTCTACTTAGATCCAAAAATGCTGTAATGCTTAATGTCCAAGGCTTCATTTAGTTGTGCCTTCTTCTTGCAGTTTCTTTTTTTTGTAGCACAAGAAGTCTCAGAAATAATTATATTCAGCAAATTCAGTTATTTAGGATATCTGAACATTTCATACACTCTGGAAATTTTGCCTTATCATAGTTATTAGTAGAGAAAAATTAAATAGAATCTTTATCTATTAAGAATTTTAAAAAAATGTAAAAAAATCTTCTTTAAATTCGTCGGTTAAAATATTACCTTTGAACCTTTTTCTAAATTTGAGATAGAATATAATATTACCTATTTGAAATAGAATACTTTGCACTACACAATTCATGAAAGCCTTATATATTTTTTCATTTGCTACAACCGCTGGCTACGCGCCTGGAAGTTATAACTATTACATAAATTGTATATTCTCTTCCCCTTTTAAAAAATTTTTGTATGGATCAACTCAAACTTATATATGAGGAATTTATTGAAAGTTGTACGAAATATAAATCTATAAAAACAGGAGAAAAGAATGGGGGTTCTTCCCCTAGGGTTTTTTTTTCAAAGGTTTCCATACTAATTACCATTAATTATATAGTTACATATTTTTGGTAAGAAAATAACCCTTAGAGGTTAATAGTGTTGTTAAAAAGCGCTGTTCGGGTCGATTTCTAAAAATGGCCCGATTAAGATCTCAACCAAATATAAGCTTCAAAATTTGGGTAGTTACAAGCCCAAACCTTTCTGCCATCTAAGAGCTACCTAATATTATTTTGGTCATAATCTTAATGGGGACGTTTTAAACATCAAATAGGGCTTTTTAACAACACTAGAGGTTAGTATATTCGCAAATATAGTGTTTATTATAACCCCTAAATTAATACACCTACTTTATAATTATATCACTTAAAAAAATAAATTTTAGGAGAGAAGTTTCCACAATAATCCGGTTAACTCCCTGAATTTCACACCCGGCAATGAGCCCAGTTCAGTCAACAAGAAAAGTATATATAATATTTTTTAAACATTATTTATGCATAATGTGCTTATGATGATCTACTAAATAGAAAATATGAAAAAAAAATCTTAAAAAACAAAAGAGCAAAAATAGAAATATTTATCTGTGAAACACAGGGAAGGAAAGATAAAAAGGGAAGGAAAGGAGGAAAAAAAAATAAAGAAAGAAAGAAAGAAATTTCCAGATTCAGCCATCAGTAAATAATGACAGAAAAATAATAATTATAAAAGATAAAAAGAAAATTATAATAACAGCACAAAATTCTCCTATAAAAATTAATAAAATTTAGTAATAAAATAATTATGTCGTCTCTCGATAAGCAACATCGATTAAAATACATTTTCTGGTGCCATTTGATCAGGAAATATTTAGGGAGGAATTTAGAAGAAAAGCTTCAGAAATGGAATTCAACCCGGCCATTAAGACTGTTAATAGAATGAAGAAAAAGGATTATAATAGTACATCGATTTTGAAAAAGTTTCCAAACACTCGTTAAAGGTGGAGTAGCTGAGAATACTTTTCTTTTGTTTGATTGACCTATCATTTTATGGGTGGGACAATAAAGATTACTTGTCATGCTTCAATATTTGCTATCCTTTTTAGCAACATCTATCATGTGCTTCATTTTTTTATTATGAAAATTTTGATGTTGCTTATCGAGAGACGACATAATTATTTTATTATTAGATTCTAAAGTAACCAGTTCTTCTGTTGAAAATTCTCCATTCCCTTTAACATTCCAATCTTTGATAAACATCTCATCTTGTCCCCTCTTTCTTTCTCCATGTTTAAAAAATTTTCTTGCGACAATTTAGGTAACCTAAACATATACAAGTACCTTCCGCCTTCGGCTCCGTGCAAATTATGAGCTGACTCCTGAAATTGTTTAAACTCCATCTCAAATATTTGCCTTTCTCTTTCTCTCATTTCGAACAATTTCCTCATCTGATCCTCAGCCTCCTCTTAGAAAGTTTGGTTAGCGTTATCGATATCATTGTTAATATTTTATATAATCCGTACAGTGTTAACAGCTTCCAGGACAGCGATTTGCTGTTGCAGATTAAGGTTATGCCGATCCTTGTAACTTATCATAATAGCATATCCGTCCAACATTTTTTCTCTTCTCTCGTTAAGGCTTTGTTCGTTTTCCTGTAGGCAACCTTTATCTTGATCGTTTATTAATTCAAGCATGACGCTTGCTAGTGGAGATCGAATTGGGAGATCCTGAATTCGAATTTATATCTGATCTCTTGTTTTTGCCGGTGGAGATTATTTGTTTAGCGATGTGGGATACTGCTTTCGGTTGTAAATTTTCTAAACTGTTGAAGGAATCGACATATGTTTTATTGGGTACTTCGGATCTCTCATCGAAGCGTTGCTCAGTTGTCATATCAGGGGTTGGGTGTGTTAAGATAATGGTGTCAATTGATATTAGATTTTTTTATTCCATTTCAATTCCATATTTTTAAATGTATAAATTTATATCTTTTTTTAGCTCAAAAATGTATTGATTCAATTATTAGAAACAATATAAACGATTACCATACCAAAACACTTATGAGTAATAACAATATAGTGAACCAAAGTAGCGAACGACAGGAAATGATGGAAAATTCTGATATTTCCGATATAAATAATATAACAAAAAGCTGTGTGTCTTTGGACCAGGGAAGCCCATCGACTCCCATGCATCTACATCATCAACATCAGAGATTTATTCAATTCATGGAAAATACTTCTCCATCCCAAAATGATATGGTATAATAATATCTAATGCTTTTAGCTTTTTCATGACCTTTTTAGTCTAGGCAATTCGAAAACTAAATATTGTATTGGTTTTGGATTAATTAATGTCGAAATTTTAATTATGCTCTCCTTTTATTTTTACGATATTATCATTCTGATGTATATAGTATAGGTCTGCAATGGGCGGGTTTTTTGCAAAAAGTCCGCCCACTCCCACCACCTCACTTATAATTTTTTCAATAAATTTGCCCGTCCGCCCATTTATCTATAAATTTTGGTTAACCTGACAACCCGTCTAATGCTTAAAAATATTTTAATGGATGGTTTGGCTCTTAATTTATTTATCTAAATGTATTCTTAATTAAACATATATAATATGTTATTAAATAAAACTATTATTTTTAATAAATTGAAGTCTGTTCTGCTCATTTCGCCTGAAAAATATCAAAAGTTTACCACCCACGCCCGCCCATTAGTTAAAAAATTTTCTCAACCCACCCTACCTGCCCAATGTTGCAAATATTTAAAAACCCGACCATGCCCATTCAAAGTATGGGCTGGCATGGGCGGGTGGGCGAAAAACCCGCCCAATGCAGACCTCTAATATATAATATAGGGAAGAACAACGAAAGTTGACGTTTCTTTTACAATTTTAACAGCACATTTGTTAATTATGCTAGGATCTTTTCCCACTGATAGTTTAATCAATTTATTTTTTGTATTCTAAACTTTTCATTTTCATCTGTGAATTTAAAAAATAATGATATAATGATAGCTTTCCACAGTATAATTCAGTTCTAGACACATTATATTCATTTACTAAGGAATAATATTAAATAATATTTTTTTTTTACTCTACTATGAAATTAAATATCATGGAATAGTGGAAAAGGGCAGGAGAGGCTTACCAAACCTAACAAATTTTATACATAGCTTCCTTATGCATTTAAATAAAATAATGAAAAATTTTGTTATGTAATTGAATAATTCGTATTAAATATTATATAAATTTTATATTCTTGATTGGTATAAAATGTTTTTTTAAAATTTTATTGGCAAATAAAATATTTACAAATATATTATTCTCGAAATTGAGTTATAAAAAAATCCATCAGAATAGGACTTTTTAACAACACTAGAGGTTAGTGTTGTAGTTCACAATATTTTTCCCTTTTGTTTATATAAAATTAATATAAATGTCAATCATTTTTAATAATAAAACTTTGTATTTTGATATCATTTTTTATCATATAGTTTTTTGTAAAATGATTTGATTTTGATCATTAATTTTTTTATGCTTAAATTTATAAAATAATTTCTTTTTATGCTTAAAATTATAAGATTAATTTTTTTGTGTGCTTAAAATAAAAAAAAACGATTAATATCATTTGTGCTTAAATTTTCAAAAGCGAAGAATTAATTTTTCTAAGATTTTGTTTTAATCAAGTTTGATTTATAAGAGTTATCGAAGTATTATTGAGATATCTGTGTAAGCCATTGGTTTTAAGTTCTAATATTTTACGTAGGCTCTTTGATTTTTTGTAAATTCCTTCATTTTTGGGTTCTTTTGATTTATTGATTTACTGTAAGTTCTTTTTTTTATATTTTGGATTTTGGTAAGTTTTTTTCTTCTCTATTTTGTTAGTTGTTGACCGTGACCATAGGATATTAGATACCAGAATTATTTGTTATTATAAGGTAAAAGCCACATTTTTATTTTACATTTTGTATTTCTCCTTAGGACACAACGCAATCATATCATTTTTGTTGTATAAATTTTTTAGAATTTTAATTAATAAAATAGTTTGAAAAGTATTTTTTAGATTAGTTCGATTAACACCCAAGCTTTATTATATAATATGATTTTCTGTAATAAATTAATTTTAGAGTAAAGTAAATTCGTAATATGCGATGGTTGTATATTTCGATAAGTATCCTAAGCCTAGTTTTATTAATAAAGTTGCCATCCTTAAGGATATGGGTTATAAAATTTTGTATCAGAACATTAATGAATTGGATATAGGCCATCATTTAATTACATTAGGATTAATAGTAATTAAATCTTTAATTTATATTATTTTGAAATTTTTATTTGGAAAATGTACCTTGGTTGCGACCAAAGTATATGGTAATTGGAAAAGAGACACTCAGTGTCGACTGATTGTTGGAAAAAAATATCGGTCTTGGAAAGTAATTTAAATGAGGTTTTAAATGAAATCTAAAACGGCAGACCAGAAATGTTGAAATGTAATAACGATGATCATTTGGAAATGGTGGAGAGATCTGTGGTTATCCTCAGAGAACTGAAAGAAATGAAAGAGATGATTAAGATCATCTATCAAGATATACATAAATTAATTAATTTGAATAGTAATGGAGGTAAAGGCCAAATATGTGTTCCGACGGGATCAGATGGGAAAAATATTTTCTCCTGGAATAAAAAAATCTTTGAAGATTTGAAATGTACCCGCTGTGGGTATAAGGCCCACAAGGTAGAGACCTGTGTGGTCAAAGAACAAAATTTTTGTGAGGGTTTTCCGTTAAGGAAATTGATACTAGAAAATTCTAATGTTAGAAAAATTTCTGGTACCAACACGAATAAATTGGAGGTTCCACAATCGAATTATGGTAAATCCCGTTTACGTTTTAAGTGTAACAAACCGGGACATGTACCCATAAACTGTACCAAAAATTGACTATATGATTACAGGTGTAATCATATATTGGGTAGGATATCGGGAGATCGAAATAGTAATAAATTATATAACCATGCTGAAATGAGATATGATTCTCATAAAAGCCGTGGTTTTAACAGAAATTTTTTTTATCCTGATGATAAAAATAAAAATAATGAAGATTCTAATAATTTTAGATGGGGGAAATATCCTAAGGGTATTGTTAAATATTCCGATAAGAGGGATGTTAATACTTTCGAATGGGAAAGGTATCCCCGTGATATTGTTAAAAAGAATATGAATATTATTAAAGAACCGCTAAATTCCGAGTTGAATTTATGTTCAAATGTGAATTCTCGTGAAACTGATGTTTCAAATGAAATAAATATTGATCAGTCAATTAAAAAACATATGAGTTTTTAATGACTGAGCGATTAGTCGAACCTTGTCCTTGTCCGAGAGTTACTGTAAGAGTTGACTGGGACATCGACATGTTATTCGACACAGGGGCTAGCATTTCAATAATGTCTAGGAAAAATTATTATAAGTATTGGTCTGGGAGCATACTTGAAAAAGAATCTATGTGCGTCAGGCAGTTTGACAGGTCGGAAATTGTAATTTTGGGGAAAACTAAGTTGGGAGTAATTCTCCATGATACCACATTTTCCCTAGATTTATGGGTAGTGAAGAAAGATGTGGAGACTACTATATTCGCAAATATAGTGTTTATTATACCCCCCTACTTAATACACCTAATTTATAATTCTATCACTTAAAAAATAAATTTTAGGAGAGAAGTTTCCACAATAATCCGGTTAACTCCCTGAATTTCACACCAGGCAATGAGCCCAGTTCAGTCATCAAGAAAAGTATTTAATATTTTTTACACATTATTTATGCATAATGTGCTTATGATGATCGACTAAAAAGAAAATACGAAAAAACAAAAGAGCAATAATAGAAATATTTATCTGTGAAACATATAGGGAAGGAAAGATAAAAAGGGAAGGAAAGGAGGAAGAAAAAAAGAAAGAAATTTCCAGATTCAGCCATCAGTAAATAATGACAGAAAAATATTAATAATTATAAAAGATAAAAAGAAAATTATAATAACAGCACAAAATTCTCCTATAAAAATTAATAAAATTATGCAGTGGCATAGCCAGGATTGATCAATGGGGGGGGGGGGGGGGGGGTTAAAATCTTCATCGTAAATGCATCAATATTTAAGCGATTGGAGTATCTAAAAACTACTCTAGGTTTAAAATTTTTAATCCCAAACATATTAGCGATCTCCTTTACTTTCTCATTATATTTCCGAAATAAAATGATTATTGTTTTATAAAAAATTATAAATAAATTATTAAAATTTTTAAAACTATCTAATTAGTTTAAAAATATAAATTTTATTATTAAATCTATAAATATCTAATTTAACTATGTGAGAAAAAATTTACAATATATTTTTATTGTTATTTAATATACATTACATATAATTTTTAATATATGTTATTATTATTGATAATCCGTTCAGAGTTAACAGTTTCCAGGGCAGCGATTTGCTGTTGCAGATTAAGGTTATGCAGATCCGTGTAACTTATCATAGTAGCATATCCACCATCATTTTTTCTCTTCTCTCCTCTCGTTAAGGCTTTGTTCGTTTTCCTCTAGGCAACCTTTATCTTGATCGTTTATTAATTCAGCCATGGTGCTTGCTAGAGCCTCGGTTCGGTACTGTGATATAGTGGTCGAATTGGGAGATCCTGAATTCGAATTTATATCTGATTTCTTCTTTTTGCCGGTGGAGATTCTTTGTTTAGCGGTGAAGGATACTCTTTCGGTTGTAAATTTTCTAAACTGTTGAAGGAATCGATGTATGTTTTATTGGGTTCTTCGGATCTCTCATCGAAGCGTTGCTCAGTTGTCATATCAGGGGTTGGGTGATTATTGTTAAGATTATTGTGTGAATTGGTATTAGATTTTTTTTTATTCCATTTCAATTCCAAATTTTTAAATGTATAAATTTATATCTTTTTTTTAGCTCAAAAATGTATTGATTCAATTATTAGAAACAATATAAACGATTACCATACCAAAACACTTATGAGTAATAACAATATAGTGAACCAAAGTAGCGAACGACAGGAAATGTTGGAAAATTCTGATATTTCCGATATAAATAATATCACAAAAAGCTGTGTGTCTTTGGACCAGGGAAGCCCATCGACTCCCATGCATCTACAACATCAACATCAGAGATTTATTCAATTCCTGGAAAATACTTCTCCATCCCAAAATGATATGGTATAATTATATCTAATACTTTTAGCTTTTTCATGACCTTTTTAGTCTAAGCAATTCGTAAACTAAATATTGTATTGGTTTTGGATTAATTAATGTCGATTTAATTATGCTCTCCTTTTATTTTTACGATATTATCATTCTCTTGTTGTATATAGTATAGGTAGAGATCTGCAAAGTTAGGCCCGGCCCAAGTCGGGTCTAATTTTATTTAAAATAAATGGGTCCGGGCCGGGTTGGGTCGGACCTTGGAAATTTTTTAAATATATCTAAATTATCAATTTTATAATTTGATTTTTGTAACTATACGACATATAACATATGTCTTTTATTTTGGGTAATTATAAAAATTAATTTCTATATTTAAATAAATTCGGGCCGGGCCGGGATTATGATTATTTTTAAAAAAAATTTCGGGTTAGGGCCGGGCCTGCAAACATTTATAAAAAAATTTCGTGCTTGGCCGGTCCGGGCGAAAAATTAGGCCCGATGCAGATCACTAAGTATACGTCTGCAATGGGAGGGTTTTTAGCAAAGTCCGCCCACTCGTTGTTTAGAAATTTATCTAACCCGCCCACCAGCTCACTTATAATTTTTTCACAAATTTTGCCCGCCAGCCCATTTTTCTATAAATTTTGGTTAACCTGCCCACCCGTCTAATGCTTAAAAATTATTTTAATGGCTGGTTTGGCTCTTTATTTATTTATTTAAATGTATTTTTAATTAAACATATACAATATGTTATGAAATAAAACTTTAATAAATTGAAGTCTGTTCTGCTCATTTCGCCTGAAAAATATCAAAAGTTTACCGCCCACGCTCGCCCATTAGTTAAAAAATTTTCTCAACCCACCCGCCACCTGCCCAATGATACAAATATTTAAAAAACCCGACCATGCCCATACAAAGTATGGGCGGGTGGGCGAAAAACCTGCCCAATGCAGACCTCTAATATAATATAGGGAAGAATAATGAAAGTTGACTTTCTTTTACAATTTTAACAGCACATTTGTTAATTATGCTGGGATCTTTTTCCACTGATGGTTTAATCAATTTGTTTGTATTCTAAACATTTCATTTTCATCTGTGAATTTAAAAAATAATGATATAATGATAGCTTTTCACCGTATAATTCAGTTCTAGACACATTATATTCATTTACTAAGGAATAATATTAAATTATATTTTTTTTTACTCTACTATGAAATTAAATATCATGGAATAGTTGAAAAGGGAAGGAGAGGCTTACCAACCTAACAAGCTTCCTTATGCATTTAAATAAAATTATGAAAAATTTTGTTATGTAATTGAATAAGTAATTCGATTATATAAATTTTATATTCTGGTTTGATATAAAATGTTTTTTAAAATTTTATTGGCAAATAAAGTATTTACATATATATTATTCTCGAAATTGAGTTATAAAAAAATCCATCAGAATAGGGCTTTTTAACAACACTAGAGGTTAGTATATTCGCAAATATAGTGTTTATTATAACCCCCTACTTAATAAACCTAATTTATAATTCTATCACTTAAAAAATAAATTTTTAGGAGAGAAGTTTCCACAATAATCCGGTTAACTCCCTGAATTTCACACCCGGCAATGAGCCCAGTTCAGTCATCAAGAAAAGTATTTAATATTTTTTACACATTATTTATGCATAATGTGCTTATGATGATCGACTAAAAAGAAAATATGAAAAAAAAAATCTTCAAAAACAAAAGAGCAATAATAGAAATATTTATCTGTGAAACACAGGGAAGGAAAGATAAAAAAGATAAAAAGGGAAGGAAAGAAAGAAAGAAAGGAAGAAAGAAATTTCCAGATTCAGCCATCAGTAAATAATGACAGAAAAATATTAATAATTATAAAAGATAAAAAGAAATTTATAATAACAGCACAAAATTCTCCTATAAAAATTAATAAAATTAGGTTATGTTTTTTTTATATAAGTATAAAATAAAAAGGAATTATATTTTCCTCATAAAATATAAAACAATAAAAAAAGACAATTTTATTTGAAAAAACGAGATTTTTTTTTATCATTCTTTATCATTCATTCACGCAAAACACTTTAATAAAAAAATATGATATTAATCACAAAATTTATAGAAACACAAGTCTTGCAAATTCATAATTTTTATTGTTAATATTGTAATGTTTTCCAAATATGGGACAAATAAGATATTTATTTCTCTTTGTAGAAAGAAAATAAAGCTATTTGTATATCTTATATACATTTTAAGATAATTAAAAGGAAAAAGTACAATATAATAGTTTAAGTATATAATGTAATGTAATGTAATCAACGTAAAATAATTCATGGTTTGTTTTCTGCTCTTACATATTTTTTAATGCTGTAAATTTCTGGTCGCGCGGGAAACGTTTTATAAGTGATTTCTATAAGTAGAGGAGGCCAGCCTACCAAATCAAAATTAGCAACCCAAATATAAATTATAAAAATAAAAGGAAATCTAAATTAGCTCGAGGGATCATACGATCTATAACATTATTTACTATAGTCGATTAGAAAGAGCAGGAAAATCGGATAGAACTAATTTGTCAGGGGCTGGATGATTCCAGCTTGTTAAATAGGGTAAACTCCTACCGATTTTCCTATGAATTTCTTCTAAATTTAAAAAAGGATTATATATGAATGGTTTACATTAATTTAAATATTAATTATTCAAATCAAATAATTTTTTCTAAACATTTTGTAATATTAAATGTTATTAATAAAATTAATTTATTAGTCTCATCGGCTAGTATAAGACCGAAGATAGAAAACAAAGATCTAATCATATCTCCAAACATTGTATCACCAAGCGATATATTCTGTTCAGTGCCGGGAAGATTATCTTTATTAAGCTCAACGTCAAAGTACAAGGTTACGGTGGGAGAGGTACAAAGAAGGTTGTCACCTCCTGAATGTTTGAATGCTTCTTTGCTAGGAGGAGTGCTTCGAAGGTAAATAAAATTAGAAGTTCTAATTAATTTTAATAACATTTACTTTTTATTAACAAATTAATTATTTATTTGAAAAATGAATGCAGCACTTGGTTGGTAAGATCATATTTATTATTAATATTGTGGAGCATCTCATATTTTTGTTGAAAAAAAAAATATTTTATTTTGTTATAGGGCTAAATCTAAAAACGGTGGTAAAACTTTGAGAGACAAGTTGGAAAAAATAGGACTTAATTTACCAGCTGGAAGGAGGAAAGCTGCAAATGTTACACTTCTAACATCGTTAGTCGAAGGTAAAATACTGAAATCAGATTTAAATTTGCCGTTGATTTTTTTTTTCGAAACATTCTAAAGTTCGTTCATAAAAATCCATCAACTCACTCTTATTATACTATAGAAGCCGGCATTAAAAATTTCAATTATTGTAAAATTAACTATCCCAAATTTTAATAATTAAACTTCGAAATCGTAGTTTCCTACCCATTTGTTATATAAATATATCAGAATTACAAAGATTTTAATTTTGAGATTAGCCTATCATTACCCCTTTGAAAAAAAAGTAACATCTCGTTAAAATAAAACAAAAAAAAACACAAAAATTATTATAAAATTATGCTCAAAAGCTGCTCGAGCCTCCTAATATTTAAAGAGCCCACTGAAAATTTAACATTACCTTTAAAAAAGGTCATTAAATCTTTTTTAGTGGCGCCACTGCTCTACCCAACCCCCTTCTGGCGAGTGGAAACATATTTGGCCGACTTCTAATATTAATGTCATGTGTCCATAAATCAAAATATAAAATACTCAAAAAATTTAAATAGCAATTTGTTGGAGCTAGTTAATTGTCTATCAAAATATTTACTACTTGTACTAAAAATAGCTTATAAATAAATGCCTAAATAAAACGCTAATAGGCGCCACGCCTAACTCTACCTCAGCTTTTATAATTTAATTGAAAGTTATCAATATTTTTGTATAAGATAACATTGAATTGTTTTTCTTTTACAAAAAAAATTTTAAAGTTACTTTAGAGGTGTTTAAATTTAAATTTGCAAAAAAAATTATCTTATTAAATTCATTTTTGGTTTAAATTTCAAATCTCAAAAAGTATATTTGTTTTAAAATTATTTGATAAAAATCCGGAAATAACCCTATTCCTGGCCAGTATATAAATGTTGAAATATTGTCTCATATATTTAAACATGCCAAACGCTCTGGCTCTTGTATAGGAAATTCCGTGATATTAAATGTAGGAAGGTTTTAAAGCTGAATATGCTTTAATATTAATTTATCGAATTCCCCATGGTGCCATTATAGCAGAATTACCTTCATTTAATACAACAGAAAACTCTGTTATAAGGAGCCAGCGCAAGTATTTTCCGTGTTAAATATACACGAATATTTTAATTTTTAATCAAAACAAATATAAAATTTATTTTATATTATTCTACAACAAATATAAAATATTAATTTAATCTTTTCGAAATTATTAAAATAGAAATGCAAGAAACTGAATAATTATAATATTTTTAATCGTCTTTTGTATAGTCAAAAAAAAAGTCGGAATTAAAACATAAATTATATTTTGGCACAAAGTTACAAAAAAGTTTAAAATTTTAAGATTTATTTAATTCATGATATAGTTTTGTCAAACGTAATTTCTTTTAAACCTATATCCCGAACTATAATTATAGTCTGGGATTCAGGATGATCTTGGGATTAGAAGATTATATAATATACGATGAGATTGATATATTAAAAAAAAAGAATAAGAGAAAACTTAAAGAATGACAAAAAGATCAATTTTATTTTTGTTTTTTTAAATTGTCAATTCGAATTTAACTATTTTTAGGCGAAGCCGTTCATTTAGCCAGAGATTTTGGGTATGCTTGTGAAACGGAGTTTCCTTCTAAACAAGTGGCTGAATATATATGCCGTCAACATGACCCATCAGAATACTCGACATATAAGAATATGGTTCTAGCAACTAAGTAAAAAAAATGATATATTAAACAAGTCATATTTAATACAAATGAAAATTTACATGAAAATAATGGTAAAAATTTTTTAATAAAGTCTGAGAAATTACAACTACAATTTAATGATATTTAAAATTATATCAATTAAGACAAGTTACTAAAGAACTTCTTGATCTCCTCAATAAAGACAGATCCCCCCTAGGTAACTCAAGGCCTCAACAAATCCTAGAACCCAACATCCAAAAAAATCTCACACATTTCAGCCTAATCACCCATGGTTTTGGTTCACCGGCTCTTTCGGCTTCCATTCAATCTATACACAATGTGTTGAATGAAATGCTAAAAGCCATGGAAAAGGCCTCCATGTCCTCTCAAAATTCTGGGTACGGATTAGTCACAGCCCAAAACGGTTCTCAAAACAATGTGTGGAATCCTCCTGACAATTCTCAATATTCAAATAACAATCACATGCTAGATAATAGCGAAAATCCCTTAGGGGGAAGTCAAGGACTAACTCATTACGCTTTAAATCAACATCACGGAATTGTTACCCATAAACGCGGCCCTCATGGCAACTCAAAAAATGCGGGGACTGGTATAAATCCCAACAAATCTCTTAGAAATTCCGTTATAAACAATCACAACGCCAAAAAAGTGAAAAGTAGCCATAGCAACCATACGTCTGATATGTCGATGTCCGACAAAAAAGATTTATATGAACAAAAGCTAAGTCAAGAAAAGATGATGATGGATATAAGAAATTTCACCGAGAATATTCCTTTGGAGCAACAGCATCAAGCCAGAGAAATGATCTTGAACGCTAATTATGGCATATTGATGAACAATCAGGACGATTACGGTACCAAGGATACAGAAATAAATGTTCCTATCGATAATGAAAACCAGCAAAGGTTGTTGGGTATCAACAATTTAATGGATGAGACCAAGAGGCGTCACCAGGCCTATTTTTTTGACGACAATTCCCAGCACAACTCTGTCTACAATCAGTCATTAACGACTAGCCAAGATCACCCCAAGAAAGCTTACCTGCAGCAAACATATACGCCGGATGCTTCATATAGCGAAAATGGGGACCCCACTCCCGACCAATTTGACGAACGGCGGTATATGATAATCACATCAGAATCGATCAACAGAGTTGAAATCAGCGAGGAAGACAACGATTCTTCCAAAAAACCTTCAAATGTTAATCATAATTTAAGGCAAGATAACGATGTTGAAGATTATGGCATGTTAGATGTACGTTATAACGAAAATCAATTGTTGGATAGCAAGACTGATTCATTCAACCTTCGTGGATCTATGGGTTCATCTCCAGAATCAGAACCCATAAAGGAAGTAGGTCTTGTTGATGAGGAATTAACCTTCTCTTCGTCGAAACATCCATTGGGATTCAAGAAATCCAAATACATGGATGATTTAAACGATAAATCATCTGACATTTCTAATGTGGAAGGAATGGAATCCACCATAAACTGTATGATAATCAAGAAGGGGATCAAAGAATTATCTTATAGTCGCCAGTCTTCTCCAGACAATGTAACCGATAATGTAAATGTAGTTCAGGAAGAATGAATCTTCCTTTTTCTTCCACCATATATAAATTTAAGAGAAACAAACCTTTTACTCAAAATTCCTCTAAATAAAATTATGCAATTTTAGATAAAATAACGATATTTTTTCAATGTCATAACGTTTTTGCAATAATGATATTTTACTTTAGCCTGATTAACCGACATTTATCTTTAGTTTTGAAATCATATAACGATTCTTTATTATTGATATATATGTTCCTATTTATTTCATACATTATATATTTCTTTTAGGAAAATTTATACAATATTATATTATATACGTAATTATATGTTTAAAATTTATTAATAAGGAAAATTAATAATTTTTTATTTTCTCCATGGAGGGCTATCAATCTCATTTTTATAAAAAAAGATCTTATTTCTTTATATATTATATTTAATATTAAAAAAAACTTTGAAATTTATTTAGAAATTTTAACCGCGAGATACATTCACTATTTTATTTTAAGATAATGTTGAACATTCTACATCCTCGTAATCATTCCCGTTTCTTTAAAATCTTAAAAGATTTATTAATAAATCATGTATAAACTATAAAATTAATATTTTTTGGTGCTGTTTATTTTACAGAATCTTCATTATAATTCCTACTTATTATATTGTATCATTTATTTTTTTACAATACAAATATAATATACTTATTTCAAATTTCGATTAAATAAATGAAATCATATATTTAGTCCATTACTATATTTCAATAAAAAAAATTGTATATAAATGATCATTTTTATTTAGTAAATAATTTTAATTAATAAGGTGATAATTTTTTTTTTTTGAAAAATTAGATCATAATTTTCTATGTTAATATGAAGAGGAAAAAATTTTATAAATTTTTATTTTTGCCGATTATAACTCGATCATCTTTGTAAAACTTGAACTTAGAATAAATAAGTAACTGGAAGCTTATCCCGAGAAAATCAAATTTAATTGGTGATTCTAATAAGAGTTGAAATTCTATTCCCACTAAGATGGAATTAAAAATCTGATATGTCTATGGATAAACAAGGTCGTAAGGGGGGAGAGTAGCTAATCCCCTTGTTCTAGTCCCCAGTAATTTTCGCAATTTTTTAAAAATTTAGGGAGAAAGAAGAGTTTGACCGAAAGGCCTTCAGAGAATTATCGGAAAATTACTCAAGATTTTAACGTATTTTAAAAGTCTCTGACCTTCTAGAGGCTATGGGCTGTTATTAGCACCTGCACCCATAATTTCAGAGTTTATAACAAGCTCATTATAATTGAAACTATTATGAACATATTATCTTGGAAGTAAAAATACCTCATATGCACTATATAAATTAATTATTCTGATTCCATCTATATCAAAACCCTTATATACCAACATGCCAAATATCTCAATCCAATGTTTTTGCCTTAGACAAACTTCTCAGGTATTAAACCACCTTCTCGTCATTAGCATGAAAGGAATCTGCCCAACCTGTCACAAACTTATTAATATTAAAAAAAGATGACCATCTATACAAACATGGCCCTCCAGCTCTCCCTTGCTCAGGTTCTAATACACTTTGCACAAAACTAATTGAACCCCCAATCAATACCAAACACAAACAAGTATATAACAAATCACTAGAAGAATTTATCAACACATCTCATCTAGTGTTAATTACCAAATCAATGACCATCTTACTATATTATTTGATAATATTAATATAGATTTGTCAAATTTAAATCATTGGAATAATCTCTTCACATTCCCTTTCAAATGCCTCTCAATCACAAAAGATAACAAATCTACCTCAATACCTAACCTAATATAAGACAGACTCAAAATATTGGAAAATTTAACACTATTAGAATACGTTAAAAATCTCAATAATTCTAATGAAAGTTTCAATAATACCTGCAACAAAATTTCCAAAAAAATAAATGAAGGTGACATATGTGGTGAATCTCTTCACAAACAAAACTCGCTCCATCTAACGACTAGACCCTTAACAACCTAAAATCCCTTCATCCTCGTGCCTCTTATATTGGCTTACCAAACCCACCACTCAATATTCCCCCATTCATTATTACAAACCAAGATATTCGCGATACAATAAGTGAATTTAATAAATTTTCAGCAGCAGGCCCGGATGGCTATAGACCTTCTTACTTCCAAACATTTTTAAAATCTCATAATTCCAATAATTTTTTTAACTCACTTACCACCTTCCTTAATAATATAACAAATAAAGATACGACATTAGCTCATCAAAATATATTGCTAACTTGATAGCTTTTGAAAAACCTATTGGCGTCATCCGCCCAATGGTAATCGGTTAATTTTTCAGACGCCTGATAGCTAAAATTATAACAAAAAAAATAAAATTTGATACTCATTCCCTGTTTGGCAAATACCAATTAGGATGCGGAACAAAAGGAGGCGTAGATATAGACTCTCACGGCCTACGAATCTACCTCCAACATCCACCAACAAACTCCGTTTTATGTAAAATCGATTTTAATAATGCTTTCAATACAATATAACGTTCCTCGGCACTCAAATCCTTTTTCGATAATTTCCCTTAATACTCGCGCTTCATAGACATCTGGGTCACCATCTTGCAAACTTTATTATGAATCCTAAAAGACTTGTGGACGTCAATAATTTAATTTGCAAATACAACGTATGTCTGGCATTCAATTATCCTTTTGAGGGCTAATCCTACAGATCTTCTTTTTAAAGTCCTAGGGCCTAGCTAGCCAATGGCCTGTGATTCCCGAATACGCTCTAAAAATATTTAATCAGATCAATTTATAAATATAAATAAGTGTTTACCTTCTGTTATGTGTCCAACTATCAGCCGTGGTACATATCTGAAATATCTCTGATAATTCTACTATTAAAGCATCTTTCATCACTTTAAACTTATCTGCTATTTTATTCACAAGTGTCTGGCGACATAAAATAGTTGTACCAGGTGATAAAGTTTTAATCATCATAGTAAATGATGGATTATCACAAAGACATTGGCTGAACTGTATCAATTATAAAATCAACAATAACTTTATCAGTTAATTTCTGAGAAATATTGGCATTTGAATTAATTTGGTCTGAATTGAATTAGTCTTTTTGGATGTAGATTCACCTATACCAAGGTTATTTATATGTTTTTCCATTTCCTTAAAACTATTAGCATGAACAGTCTTATAAAATAAATATTATCATTTTATGTAAAAATGATAATTTACCTTTAGGTGTTTCTTGAGGTTATAGCTACTGGATTGATTTGAGGAAATATTTTTTTTACATTTTAAACATAAATTCGAAGTCACTTTTTGTTTTACTTGGAAAATTTTTGAAATCTAGGGAATGGGAAAGTATTGCTATGAATATCATTTTCTTCCCTGGTATCTTCCATTTCATTAATATCAATGTCTGACTCTGAATCACTTTCAACGATTTGGATATCCATATGCGATGTCATTTTAAATTATTAACAGGTGATTTAAGTTTATAAAACAAATTGAAAATATATTTCAATTTCAAAATTAAATAATAAATCATAAAAATTATAATTAATTATGGTACTATATTTAAATTTTCGTGCTTATGCTTACATTCATTATCTACTTTTAAAAAAGTAGCGCGTTAAATAATTACAAAAAAAGTAGCCGCTATTAGCTATAGCTACCAAAAAAGATAGAGCGCTACGTAGCGCGCTACTTTAACAACTCTGAACTTGTGTTATATAATTATGTTAGTTTAAAAAAAAATTAATAACAATATGGTATGTTAATATTTATAATAAAAAATTTATCTTATTGTAATCTTTTTTAACATTGAATTTGAAAATAAAATTTTATATAATTTTTTTAAATAAAAAATAATTTGAATTTTATTATTCTATTTTTACAAATACTTGAATTGAGATCAGATCTATATAATAATGTTTAAAAAATACCATTTTCTATGGAAGATCTTTGGTCCACCGAATGGACTGGCCTTACCTTAAATACATTTTTTAACCAATTGTTAACTAGCCATATCTTCGGTGCATATTTATTTTAAACTCCAATATTACATCCATTCTATTCAATTATAAGGGAATTCAAATCATATGGTCAACTCATAAGCATATTTTTTAATCTAAAATAAATTATTAATTAGATTATTTACTAAATCTAAAATAAATATGCAACAGCTTAATTACAGTGATTTGGATGTAACTAGAGATTTTATAATTAACACCAAGAATTTTATATAAAATTATGGTCCTTTTTAGATGTCTAAAAATATGTCAGATATCTATTTTTATTTTAATTTGTCCTCTAAAAATAATTTTTTTTTTCATATTATTACGGGAAAAGCATTTTTACAATTATCATAATAAGTTCTGTTTGTCTATATTTTTTCTCATCATGTTATTATCTGTTACATATTCGTAATGATTTATTATTTATTGTGTTAATATACTTTTCCATTTTAGATAATGAAGATTTAAGGCTATCGTGTGACCTATTAAACATTTATATTATGTAAATTGAATATATAAAACGTTATTTTATATGATATATATTTACATTTACATAATTGATTTACTTTTGATACAAAAAAAGACCTTATATATTATAAAAATCAATCAGTTTTACATTATTAAATTTGTTATTTTCAATAGTTAACAATAAAATACTTTATTCACATTTCTAAAATATTATTATCATACTACCGACGACAAAACAGACTACTAGCGAGTCCATTCTCAGGACTAGAGTTTCCCCGCTTTTGTCAATATTATTCATTAAAAATTTTTTTATTTATTCTCCTTATATACTATTCTGAATTTATAATTTTTCTATCACTCAAAAATACGATGGATTGTTTATTTCCTTGTTTCCTAGAAATGTATGAAGTATTAAAATCGTACATTTTTTTCAATTAACAATCCATCACTTATCAGAAATTTTTTTTAAAAATGATTTAAATAAAGCATATCTGTGATTTGCTCATTCCTTGAGGTATGCATTTAATAAAATTAAATCAGTTGAGAAAGAAAATAATTAAATTATTGAAATGTTTAAACCATTTAAAATCATTGAAATATTTGTTAACAGAAAGAAAAATGAAAATTTTTTCGATTAAAAGCGAGTTATATTTGAAACAAATAAGATAATTAATTAAATGTATATTGAGGTAGCATTTAATATTTTGATCTTTAATATGAACCTCTAGAAGAATTGGAGTATTTATAATGGGTGGAAATTAAAAATGTTCCCGATTGGTCTGATTTTAAAAAAAGTCTATAGATTTTTTGAAAAATAAAAATGTTTCTTTAATTGTTCAACCAATTTTGCAACCTTAAATCGTTTATTACAAAAATGAGATTTGTTTGCAAAACTTCCTCTTCACCAAGTATGGGTCAAATATTTCTCTGATATTCCAATCCTTAACAACATAATGAACTGTTAATTATAGCAAGCTTCATTTTTGCTATATCAGCTCATAATGTTAAAGTTGAAGGAATATTTTCTTTATTCAATAGTCAATGGACAAATGAGAATAGATTAATGTGAAGCTATAAAACCAATTATATGTATGTAATACAATTTTCGTTTTGGAAATATTTCTATAATTTAGAAAATCT